GCAAATACTCTCCCTATGACATATACCCCTAACTTGTCGGATTCCAAACCTGTATTTCAAATATTCTTGGTTTGAATGACAATGATATGGCATATATTGGAAGTGAAGAAGGCGTGAATTTAGTTCAATTTATTGAACACTTCGTCGCCCCTCGTGACAATTTGACTAAACAACGTTTTAAAATTCGTGCTTTATGTTTTTGTCTTGTTGTCAATTGTTTGCTTAGGACAGGTAAAGAGTATGGAGATTATTCTATGGTGTCCATAGTGGAGCAGGGATGTCACTCACCCGCTCCCTTAGCTTTGGCAGAAACTGTTCTTTGCTTGAATCGCCTTAGAGGAGACCCTCACGAGAACGGTTTCATTGGAAGTCCAATCCAATTACACGTACATTTTTTTTCGTCGTATTGCAGTGCAAGTCATAAAGTTGCGCTGGTCTGACCAGTGCAATCTTCTAGGATGCATGCGAGTGGCGCGAGCAACTGGTTTTGATGCGAGCGCCACCTGCTTGTGTAACATCGCAAATTAATTTTTTTTCTCCTCTTTTTTTCAAATTTGGCTCATGGAGCGATTGCGAATCGTTGATCAGCCACAAAATCTTGAGGCTAACGGAGTGAGGACATTCCCTGGACGTCGAACTCTCTACAAACATAAGAATGAAGAAGAATAGACGTCTTTTTTCTGTCACGGGGTTCCTCTACTCTTTGTGATTCCTTAGTGGAACTCACCAGCATTATCCCCAAATTACACGTGTCGCGCTCACTTTAAAAATTTTCCCGCCAAATTTTTTTTTTCAAAGTAAGATAGCTAATAATAACAAATAAATAAAAAAGATAATATACAACCTAAAAAATAGAACAATAATAACAACTTAAATAATTTAATCATTAATCTATAAAATGTATTTTATATATTCCCTTGAATCTATGTATTGTTCGTTTTCTACTTAAAAAAAAATAGAAAAAAAAAAAAAGATTTTCACTCAATTTCAAATTCATAACATGTCAGCAAACTAAAATTGGAGATAAGTACTCTACATTAATGTATTTAATCTATATTAATTTGATAATATAAATAGATATTTCGTACAATTATTAAAAAAAATAATTCTTTTGAATATCACGGGCAAAAAACTAATTAAGTAATAAGATTACTCCCTTCATCCCCAAATATTTTTTTCTATTTGCTATTTTAGTGCCACCAAATGTTCTTCACATTTCACTTTTTCAACTTAATTTATAATTGAAATTTATCTTTCCCAATGCAATTTTTTTACTTTACCATCATTTTTTTTTTTGTTGTAATAATTGAGATCATATCTTTTCCAATGTACTTTTTCATATTTTTTCTCTCTACTTTCCTTACAAATTATTGAGTTTTATCTTTACTAATGTACTTTCACTACTTTTCCATACAAACCTTCCTTACAAATTATTGAGTTTTATCTGAGAGAGTATTGAATAAACTGAATCGATCCCAGAACCTCCTGGAATCAGGAGGGAAGCTCTAACCACTTGAGCTATCCCTCACTCTCATCTTCTTTCTTAGTTAATTAGATGTCTAACACATTATTGCAAGCATATTTCAAACAGCTTATCCTCCAAATTGTATTTTCTCATAAACATTCTTCTAGAGTTACACACCTTGATCGTACAACTTTCAAATATCGTTATAAATGCAAGGGATTTTTACAGCATGTATAGTTCTTGATATTGGTTGTACATTCAAGGTATAATTTAAAGTGATCTTGGAATAATGATGTCGCCGATGTTGTTGTGCCATGGATCAGCCAAGTGAGTAGCCAAGTTTTCCAATGGACCTGTTCCGGGATATGCTGATTGTTGAACGCAGAACCCCACAAAAGCCAACAATGCAAGACGGCCTAGCCAACAAACAATCACCTTCAATTAGACTACAGTGACGCTAAATGGCTAACATGTTAAACTAACCAACATAGTAGTACAGTAGAATGCAATTGTACAGATTCATCTCAGTGTACAGTCAAACCAACTACAACATAGTTTGTTTTTTTTTTTTCACCTAGTGTTAAGGACGAGAATCAATCCATCCTAAAACCCTGAGAGAAACTCTAACTACTTGAGTATTAGCAAATTATTTTTTAATTGATTAAGAATTTGAGTGTGCTTACCATTTTTAATCTCTTTAACCTTCAACTCCTCGAACTTCTTAGGGTCCTTAGAGTAACCCAAAGGATCGAAAGCTCCACCAGGGTACTTCTTCTTCTCGGTGTCTTTCTCCATACTCCTTTGGTGCTCTACGAACGCGATAGCTAAAAACTCGATTGCCAAAATTGTAGGAAGGTTACCCCATGGAACAGGGTTGCCTAAGTAGGTTGCTTGACCTCCTGGAAGAGCAGCCCATTCTTGAGCTTTTACCCAGTTACCTAATCCCAAGGCTTCGGGTACAAGGATCCCTGGCTGCAATTTGTAGTAGAGTCAAAACTCAACAACTTTCATAAATATAATCTTGATTTTAGCATGTCAAAAACACCATTCACAAATTAAAATTATATTTTTCAAACACTATAGACTTATAGTATAGGATAAACCAAAAATCTACAAGATCTTCTAAATTGGCTAGCTTAGCAAAACTATTACTAAAATGGCCTCATTTAAATTCTAATTGCAATACTACTAGCCTATAATTTCATATAAACATTGAACCTTGAAATAACTAAGAGTGTTTAATTAAACAAAAACAAAACAAAAAAAATCATTCTACATCCCTATTACTACTACCTCCATTTTTCTAAGACCTATTCATTTTCCGTTTTCATCCGCTTTTCTAAGTTCTACTCACTTTTACTTTTATTTCTTTTATGACAACTTTTTGTTCAATTAAACCTCTCTTTAATACAAATGTACTCACATGTATAAATGTATAATCTTCATTTTTCAGTAAGACTCAGCAAATCGAAGGTAGTAAATGAAAGTAGTCATTTTAGTATATAATTTTGCTAAACTAGCTAATTTAGTATCAGATCCAAATCTCCACCAGATTATGAAAACCTCCACCAAACCCTCGAAACCACCACCTAACCTTCAAAACCACCATCCACACGACCACACTCTAAAAATTACCACCCAACCCTCGAAACCACCACCTTTTAGTGACAACAACCCCCTAACAAGAAATGAAAAAAGTTTAAGTAGTGTATCATATATACTTACAACTGCAAGCATTGCCCATCTGCAATGGATGAGCTCTGATTCCTTAAACCTCTCTAGATTCTCTGGAACTTCTCCAAGCCGAAGTGGGTCAAATCCAAAGTCACTGCAAAAAATGTAAGCAACCAGTCTGATTATAATTCTTCAAAAATTAATGGAAGACTATTTGAAACTCTAATAATAAGTAACTGCAGTGGATAATCATTGTGGAATTAAGCATCAATAGATAATCAAACCAGTAAAATTTTACAAAATCGTTGTAAATATCTACCATCTCCATTTTAAATTAATTGCAACAATTTGACTTTTGCATCATTAAAATGTTTACTTAAACTATGTTTCTTCACCGATATACTAATTTTGTTTCTTATTTTGTATAACAAAGAAAATAAGTATTTTTGTGAGATATAAAATGTTTCTTTAGTGCACCTGATAAGAAACTGATATAATATGAATAAATATTTTTATGTAAAATAAATGGTAGGAATTAGTTGTACATGTGCGTTTTACAAAACAGATAAAGTATATACTACCTCCATTTTACATTATCTACGGAGTAATATAAAACGGAATACGTAGTATATGCAGCTAAAAAGTGTAACCATATGAAGAATATAACATTTGCTATTAAATTAGAGCAGTATAAAAAAAATTACCCAGGAGCTGATCCGTCAAGGTAGGGTGGCCTTGGTTGACCAGGCATCCATTCTGCGGACATAGAAAACCGAGAAGAGGCATTGCACGACACATTTGCCAACGGTACCGAGGCGGCAAACTTAGACTTAGAAGACGAGAGAGAAGAGGGGAACACGGCGGCGATGCCACAACTCATTAAGGCATTAGAAGCCATTGTCGTCAGTTCAAAGAAAAGACTAAACAAGGTTCGATTTGAGGTTGAGAACTTGAGAACTTGAGAGAGTGAAATGAATAATAAGTTGGTGATATTCAAGTAGAGTTGTAAGGTTTAGTAGAGGATGTAGGCGAATCTAAATGTTGATATTCATTGGCTAAATTTGCTTATTTGTTATCCAATTCTATGCCACGTGTCATATAGTGATATATCTATCTGGCTATATTTTTTGAGTAATCTGATTTTTTTTTTGGTTTTAAGCTAGTAGAAATGTGTGCGTCTCATACTGTGTTGAGTTGTATGGTTGAGAATGTTCCTATGTTATTTGGGTAGATGGTAAATAGGATTTTTTTTGTGATTCTTAAGTTTTTATTTACGATTTTTTTGGTGTAATATTCTAGCTTTGTGGAGATTGCTCCTATGCTATGAGAGAGTATGAGGCTAGCTTGAGCACCTTGTCAATCAAGAAGGATAAATATTAACGGCATAAATATATGTCAATCTCCATTAGAGACACTTTGAGGGTGAACATCTCTTATCCTTCCCCCTCACTTTTAAAGTGTTTGACCCGTAAATATTAGATCGAAAATCTGTGAATGTTAAAGTCTAGTTAGAATTCTTCTCCTAACCTTCAGAACTAAATATATATATGCAAAGTATATAATACTAGTACAATAATTCTTCAAAAGACCATGCCCATTAAAGTCCATTAAAGACTCTATCCGCTAAAGACCCTTTTAACCTTAACTCTAACCCTTTTATCATTGAATTACCCTGCCCAATAACCATATCTACCTGTTAGGCTGTAAGTAAATAATAAATGAAGAGCAAATTTAACTCTTGCACTAAAATATACTGCTAAATCATGTCTAGATTCAAATCAAAAACAGGGGTATCCGATTGTTCAGAATTGGCAAAGGTACTGGTAATACAAAGAAAGAAAAAATGCATTAAGTCACTGGATTCTCGGAATTCTTCAAAGATTCTCGCATTAAAAACAATTGCTCAGGTGTAAATACATGTTCTATGTTACGCATCTGTTTTGTTTCAAAAGGCAATATCATACAGCTTAAGATAAGCGTATAAGGTATTCTCAGCTAAAATTATTGCATCTCACTTACTAGTCTCATGCCGATGAGGGCAGACCAAAAATAAATAAAGGTCGAAAAGGATAGACTGAAAATGGTATATGAATTATCGCCTCAGAAAACAATTTTACACAATCGCAATGGACCGAAAAGAACTGGTGAATGGCAATGGCAATACCAGGAGCCTTTGAAGGCTTTTTGTTGCAAGGCAACAAACTTTTATATGAAAACCCACATGATTTGAGGGCTAACTAAAAACATGGTAAAGCAACCTAATAACGGTTCCAGTAGGTCCTGCGTCTGAACCAGTTGTAATCGGGCAACTTCTTGATAGGACCCATGGCAGCAATAGCAATATCCTACATTTAAAAATTAGATAAATGAACAATAAGTAAAAGTTATAGACTTAGCAAGTACCTTTTATACCATATTAAGCAAGAAACTTAGCAAGATATACAACACTGATAAGCATGAAAATTAAAAGTTTAACCTAATGAGACTGGGTTTCTTACCCTGTCATAAATAAAGCGATTAGCAACACGTCTCACAGTGTTTGCGTCTAGAGCATCAATCCTAGCAAACAATTCGGCATATGGTATCCTCCGTCCATAAGTGAGCAACTGCAAACAAGATAACAAGATTATATACTGTCGTGTGAATATAAAAAGAGTAGCCAGTACAACTACTAGAAACATGGAATTGGGAAAATAATAGGACATGAGAGATTGAGCATAAAAGTACAGTCTATTCTCCATTTCTCCAAAATATTATTACCATAAATAGTAAATAAATTGAGGATGATAAAGTAGATGGGTGGGGCCGTGGAGGTGGGGAAGAGAAGGAGACAATGAAAGACATTTTCAAATCTAGCATTTTAAGGGACTTGGATTGGTTATTGCAGATTCTCATTGTCTTACAGATCTAGTGGCATTCTCAATTTTCTCAGCTCTCTGAAATCTCATCTTTTTTTTATATATTTAAATTTTATTTTATTGCAAAAGAGCTTTGATGGGTGTCATGGGACAACCATTCGTTCACATTTAGGGAAAAATATCGTCTCTCCTGCATTCACCAAGTTTTTCCAGATCCAAATCATTTCACCTTTTCCCAAAACATTTCAAAGCCTTTTTTAGTTTCTGAAACATTTAAGAAACGGAAATCCAGTCCATGTAACATCATCATAGCCTAGATGTTTCTCGAGCAAAAAAACACGCCCGAGTAAGAGCTTTCCTCAATGACGGAACTAACAAAACTTAGGGCCTGTTCTGATTGACTGAATTGAACTGGATATTTTATGAGATAAGGAAATTAAGAACTGAAAATAATCTGAATAGAACAGGCCCTTAACTACAAGGCTACATGACCTGGAATATCATGCAATCTATAGAACACAGCCTTGGAAAGAAAAAAGGCTGAAATGCCCATTTGCTTCTCTATATTAAAATGTTATTGTTATTATCTGTACCAACCTGGCAAGTTGCCCTTTTTTGTATCAAAAAGACTAATTGGCCTAACATAGAAGCAATTTTGGCAATTTTTTCAGCGTGTTTGCTCAGCCTACTACTCCCTCTAGATAAGTACATCACTGTGTCTAATTGTCTATCCACAGAGTTTTAGATGAGTGAGTCAAGTTAGAAATACAGTATGCGATATAAGGTGAGTAGGGGTACATTTTATTCACACAAAGGGAATGTATGTATGAGGACCATGGAAACAGAAAAAATAATCTATGGATAAACAAAAAGAAAGTGGAAAGGTGGTAATATTGTGGGTATTGAATAAAGTGACTGTTGAAAATTTCCTAAACGGACAAAGAGAGTGTGCAAGGAAAAAAAAAATTAGAAACAGAGGTGACTGGGTGCTTCAGCTAAGAAATTCTATCTCCTTTTATCTGCCCTAGAAAAAAACAAGTCATGTCTCACCGGAAATGGCAAGAGTCAAGGATTGAAGTTGATGTATGATGTATCATCAAAACAAGAAGTAATAACCAAATGGGTAGTTGCAATTTCAAAGTACATTTTTAAGGTCACAACAACGATCTTGCAATCCTATTAGTTCACTTACTAACAAGCAAAAGTCAGGTTTCCGGCGTTTCCCTATCTTTGAGCATTCAACAAAATAGATAATTCAAAGAGTGCATATGCAATGGACAGTACAAAGTCTTCACTCTCTGTAATGATCCAAAGCACAAGGTAGTTATAAATTGAGCCAGACAAAACAAGAAAACCATCCTCTCCTTGCTAGGCCATAACAAAAGGTTTCTATCAATTATGACTGTATGAGGTATTTGGCATATTCCAATAAAAACTTTCTATAGAAGTAATGTTGGCAATATATATGTACAGGCAACAATAATATGAAAAAGAGCAGGGGTAAAAAGAAGATATGTATACCTGGCGACCGATATCTTCCGCCACTGGACTTGTTCCATCGATGTGCAGCAACAGAGATGACTTCAACTACAATATAATAACAAGAGATGAGAGCTATTAAGATTACAAACAAAGTCGTAACCTTTACGAAGTAAACTACAAGTGTGTTGTACACACATCAGCATAAAACCTTAGATTATGTTTCATATAACCTATAAAACATTCAGCCTTTTAAGATATACGACATGAAGGGAAGGAGCAAGGCAATAAGAGTATTTGAAATAAGGGGATTTAGGGGATAGAGAGAGGTAATTTAAATATGTCATGTTTACTAACTTGACTTGACTTGAAGAACAGACAGTTTAGGCACACAAACATCTTTTGAGATGACAGAAGGGAAAATAATTTAGAAGATAACAGGTGAGGGGGCAGTAAATTACAGAGAACTTCACAAGAACCAATTATAACATACCCTACGATAACAAAAATGTATGTTCATTTCTAAATGTTTTCAACGAAAATAATATAAAATAAAACATTGCTTAAATTGAGGTTCTAATGATTACATTGGATAAGTTATATGTCTAGAAAAAAATGACGAAATTGTACTGTATAACATTGCATGGAATGTACTCTGATTATATCCATTGCAATTACTCCTGTATTTTATTAAGTGTTCCATTTCTCTGGGCACAAAGTTTTAGGAGGAATGGTAGAATGCATTAAAATTATTGAAGTGGGTAGGTTGAAGAATACAAATATTTGAAAACGGGGAGAGAAAATTTAAAAATTTTAAAATATGATATGGAACCACTAGTGGGGAGGAAAATAGTAAATTATTCTTATAAGTTTCCAAAAAAAGAAATGGAGCACAGAGTAAAATATGGCCGGAATTGGGAAGAACAACTCTTCTTAAAAAATAAAGGGAGTAACCACATTTATAAAATGATACTATGGTCTGCCAAACCAATCTGACACTCTTTTGAAGAAACTGACCATAGCCACTCAAGATTAGCAATTATACCTAAATTATGTGCTTGTCTGATGCAACAAGGTTTCAAAACCATCAACCAGGTTTAAAAAAAGATAGTGAAACCAAAAGAGCTATCACAACTTTCTGGACAGAAAAAGGGTGAGGAAGGAAGAAAACTAGAGAGGATATAAAATAAACAGCTAGCTTTCCTTAAGAATTTCACTAAACAGGTAAATTAGCCTTTATTAAAATAAGTGATTCTTTGGTACATAAAATGGTATGGATTTGAAATCAGGAAAGAAATTAGAGTGATGAGTATAAAACTTGATTGATTATAGCATATTACATACTTACATTCCATGTAGGCATGAATTTTTCTCTTTCAATGGATATACCTGAAAGGTATGTATGTGCCAAACCCTCCACCACCCTTGGGTCCCCAAACCCCACCTTGGGAATTCGAGTGACGAGTTTAATTTTGCAATTTTTTCAAAAAAACACAAGGTATGGGTTTCAGCCATTCTAAACCCATACCTTAGACCTGAATTTCGGGAACAGAACGCCTTCTCAGGGTATATCAAAGTGACCAACTTCAAACCCTGGACATTCCTATCTTCCACTATTCCCATCAGAAATCTACTTTTTATCTCATATTTATTCATAATTAATATACATCCATGTTTACAACTCTCTAAAAGAAGCATATATCTTTATTAATTTCACCAAGTCTTGAATGGAAAGATTAAGTTTGGCAATTGGTGCACCCTTTAACTTCAAGTCCAGTATATGTAATTATATGATGTAATCACAATATTTTACAGTTGAGTATATATTTAACGATCTAAAAAACAAAACCAAACAAAAGGCAATCTAGAGTAAGATGGAAAATAGAAGTAATTTTGCATCATTTTTAAAGTCATGCACAGCAGTCCTTGGCTCCCTAGCCTGTAGTTTATTGGCAAAGCACACCTTAAACTCCTATTCTCCTAAAAACTGATAGCAAAATAGCACAATAGAAGACAAATAAAATTGCGGCTAATTTAGCAACCAAGAAGAGAGGAAAGTACCTGGTTACAAGCACGAGTTACATCAGCATCGGAAACACGATAAGAGAACTTACTAATATCATGCATAATTGCCCATGCCAAATCATCCAAACAATCAGGCTGAAAAAAAACATCAGAATTCAGTTCAGGAAAAGACATACAGAAAATTGGAATGCTTCTACCAGTGAAGGTAGCAACTCAATCAAAGGTTCTCTTCATGGTTATTTACGCAACTACAAATAAAAAAGACATTTAAACTCTAATTATGATGCTCAAATAGTCAAACAAATACCACCAAAAATTTAAAAGGGAAATAAACATAGGAAAGTAAATAATTCATCAAACCTAAATTAAGGCAACTATTAATTCAAAGAAAATGCATACTCAAGGAGTAATATGCTCAAGGCCATTTGTCCACAGCAGATGAGGTACCGTGTTTGACACATATAAAGCAACTACACAAGATATAAGTTCGGCATAATTTTAATTGTTTAAAACATTCAACCATAAAAAACACATCAGACATCACACCGAAGAGAAATCGACTATAAGGGGCCATTTATTTTACAAGAGGATAACTGTAAGGGATATAAGAAGAAATAGAAGATAACCCCCCAAGTCTTTGATGTTGTTTAGGTGCGGTTAAATGAGAAAGGGAAATACACCCACCACCAACCTCCCACTTTACAACCACCATCACCATTAACACCAAAAACAGAAAGGGTAAGATAACTCATCACCATCCTCCCACTCTACAACCACCATCGCCACCTCCATTTTAACCTCTGTAGCATGACGGAATAGGTAATCCATGCCCCCGCCCCCTTTTTTTCCTCTCAGAGCTAGAATTTGTGTGTAAGTGAAGATGGTAATAAGGGTTGGTGGGGTGGTGTTCGGGATGGATGGGTAAGTTTCTCCAAATTGCTAGGGCGGTTTTAGGGGTTGGTGCCTTGGTGAGGTGATCTTCATGGAGTGATAGGTGGGTTATAGAGTGGGTGGGGTGGTCTTCGTGGGTTTGTATAACTGTTAAAAAGATGGTCAAGCAATGTACTTTCCCCATCTTTACATGCCACAGAGTATGTTGGCCAATCTGTAGGGCTGCTTGCAGGTGAACCAAATAATTACCGAAGTAGTCATGCTCAATTTTCTTAGTGGATGATTAAGCTTTTGGAAACTGATTGCTTCGAATCTTAATCTCAATTACAAAAGGCCCAAAGAATTCTATTCAAAGATCAGTAATCTGTGATACAAAGAAATAGAGAATAACTGTAGTAATTTGCACACATGATTTGAATTGAATACATCATTCTTTCAAAACTCAGAGGTTCAAATAGAGTATAATGAGATTACTGCAATCTCCAACCATAAACTCACAGCTTCCTCCATTTCAAATGCAGGGCACCCACATATTACTATGTCAACTTTTGGCCATTTTCCTTGAGCATTTGATTTACCCATATATGAAACCCACGTTTACCTCAGATGGTATGGGTAATGGGAGCTTTATATATTGTAAAAAAATAAAATAAAAAATGTTCACTACTGTAATCAGACAAATGACAAACCACCTCAAATTTTCTGAGGCTATCCAAAACATGATGTATGCATTCTTAGTTTTCTTACTTTCACACAACATATTTATTATAACCAAAAACATGATGTGTGTACTACCAAAACAAAGAGCAAAAACTAACAAAACCTTCTTTCAGCACTCAGAAAGTAATATTATGAGATCATCACAAACGTTTGGAAATGCCTGATTGTAAGATGCAACTCTAACCTTAGCAATAGCATAAACACCAAATAAACCAGTATCTTTGTAGTTGGTGTTGAATGCCATCAAGCTTTCAGCAAGTTCATTATTGGCAACCCTTTGGACCAGCTCAGATCTGATAGTAGCAAGAAATAGCAAAGTAGTTGTAAGAAAGTCAACAACTTTGCTCCCAAAAATAACCAAAAAAAAGGTCAAATGAACTATACTACACTCACCCCATGTGCTTTCCACCACCAGAATTTTTGTTCCAGGAACCCAACATTGTCTGCATAACCATCAAAGCAACGGAATCCGGATCTGTGTATGATGCTCCATTGAAGGCAATAGCAAATTGAGCCAATTCAATATCATCATCAATCATTCTGACCTGATTTCAAGCATGAACAGAGACATAGACACAAACAAATTATTTAAGAGAGATAATTAAAACTTTTAAACAACTACATAAAGTACTGAAAGATATACAAACCTCTGAACCAGTGAATGACGCTGGCTCTTGGGCAACTAATTGAGAAGCGGTGGTTGGATCAGTTGACAGCTTTGTAAAATGTTTTTCTACTAGCTGAACAATATCCTCATGTTTAACAGCACCAGAGGCAGCAATGACCTGAAATTCCAAAACCCTCTCATGTATCAGCAACAAGGATTGAAAAATATGCAACTATAAACTGTTTAAGTAAGAGCATACCATCCTTGGAGCTGTATAGTGGGTTGCTATATAATTTTGTAGATGAGATTTTGTGATTGTCCTAACATTCTCAGCAGGTCCAAGAATGGTTCTACCCAAAGGTGTGTATTGGAAAGCTGTTGCATGCAAATGATCAAAGATCACTTCCTCGGTCTGGCCTTCAACCTTTAACAAAAAAAAACAAAGCATATCAATTAGAAGGTCAAATAAATACTGCTATATAAGAATAAGAGTAGTGAATAATAAACCAACATTCATCTACGCAGAGGTTAGCAATTGATAGACAATGAGAAGCAGGTTAAATATACTTTGCCAGTAGCTAAGTACATGCTAGCATTAAGAACTAGTGTCTAAAGTTTATAGTAAATTAGATGAAACTCCTGCTCGATCTGATGGGCGATAGAGGAGTTAATCAACTCCAATGAATCATCATATTTTTTTAAAAAGCTAATTGATCAAAAAATTAATTTTAAAATCACAAGGAAACCATAATGAATTTCTTTTTGTTAAATTAAAATATTCAGGTCCTACAGAAAACATAGCTTCTTGTTCTGACATACAAGATACTAAGTATATATTAAGAAAACATAAATTTCAAGATAGTACCTCCGTTCAAATTTATCGTTGCTTTACAAATTCAAATTGCACGATTAATGTGACTACTAAACCCAGAATTCCAAAATCAGGAAATATTAAATTTATAAGATTTTAACACTTGAAAATACATTCAAACTAAAATCACAAGGTCTAAAAGCATAAAGTTAGCTTCTTTTCTTCTCAATTAATCATCAATTGAATTATTAACCACAAATTATGCAATACAATACTCCCTCAGTACAGATATATCATCACATTATCAATTCAAATTGAACTATCAATGACATTAAAGTATTAAACTGATTTAAACTAAAAGCAAAAGTATACACAATCAAAAGCATTCAACTCGAAATAATCAAAATAATTAGACACCACAAAACCCCCCTCAATAAAAAAAATATACTCACACTTTATGTAAATCGTTGCAAATAATTTGAAAGATGAGGTAAATTAAATAAAAAAAAAATAATCTCACCTCCTCCATTTCACGCAAGATAACATCACGCTCACGAGTAATTCGTTCCTCCTCAAACTTAGAATTCTGTAAAATATCAGCCAAAATATCTATCGCCTTATGAACATCAGTATCCATAACTTTAGCAAAGTAAGTAGTCTGTTCTCTGGAAGTATAAGCATTCAAGTGACCACCCATATTCTCAATCTCCTCCTCAAGCTGCCGAGCAGATCTCCTTTGGGTACCCTTGAAGATCATGTGCTCCAAGAAATGAGCAGTCCCATTAGTCTCAGCGCTTTCGAAGCGAGACCCGGCATCGATCCAGACCCCGACGGTGGCAGTGCGCGCAGCGAGCTGTGATTCGGTAGCGACGCGGAGACCATTAGGGAGAGTAGTGATCTTGGTTGCCGGGGAAGTGAGGATAGAGGTGTGGTCGGCAATGGTGGGGTGAGGGGAGTTGTGTTGGAGGAAACGAGGGTCAGGGTTTTCGAGGCGTTTGAGCTTTGATTTGACGGATTCAGCGAGGCGGTCGTAGATCATGGCATTGGGTGGTGGAGGGGATGGAGAAGGGGCGGAGGAGTGGGCGGTGACGGCGGCGGCAGCGGAGGAAGAGAAGCGGGGGGATTGGATGGTCCGAGAGCGAGAGAGGAGGCGCCTGAAAGCCATGGTGGTGGGGTGGGATTGTGGAGAGAGTGAATGAAAATGTTAGGGTTATTAAGGCCCTAATTGATGATAATCCCCCCTCTTCCTCGGATTATTTGGGAACTTACTTGTTGATTAGTTTAATTATATACTGATTCAGTAAATAAGTTTTTTTTTTTTTTTTAAAGAAGTAAAAATAAATTATATTCAGCAATGATCAATAACTTTACAAAACAAATATAGTGGAGAATCAATAAAATAATTTCAGTTCAATAAAAATAATTTCATTTCAACAAAAATAATTTCAGTGAACGAGGCCTTACTTTGAGTACAATTTTTATCAATATACAAAAAAAAAAAGTGAAAAACATATATTACCATGTAAAATAATTCTGGGTTAGTTTTTATGTATATTTTCATTAAATCAAGCTTTAATTTTTAATAATACGAAATTACAATTATTATAATGGTCAAAAGTGTTCATTGGCAAGTATGTTGGTCAAAGTGTTGTGATTATTATGAAACGAAAGTAGTATCAATTTCTAAGGGTTCGTTCGGTGTCATTTTACGTTTTTGGTTTTTGAGTCAATTTGTAAGGGCTCGTTTGGTGTCATTTTAAATTTTGCCAATGTTATTATGGGGCGGGTCAGGCATGGTTTGATTAGGTCTCCCAAAATTCCTATTAGGAACATCTTACATATGCAAATGCGTACTCAAACTATATACCAACATCATGTACATACTATATAAGAATCGTACTTGGTTTGACTAATGCTGACGATTATCCATGGTGTGTTGGTTGTCCTGGGACTTTGAGACATGCTTTCTTTAAGTGTAAGATTCTGAAGAATTTGAGTTTGATTGAGATTGCGGCAAGCTAGCTCAATGGCTTCGTGATTTGGGATTTATTGTTTTTTCTCTTAATAGTGGGATATATAAGATGCTTGAAAAAGTGTAGGGTGCGATCCTACTTTAGTGTTTATGGAATAGAAGAAATGACAAAGTGTCTTCAAGGGCATGAAGAGTTTACACCCTCTAATCATTGAGTGCATTCAGCGCCTTGCATCTAATTATTGCATTTCCTATACTAGCATATGCGGCGCGGCATATATGCTGACGTGTCTCGGTGCTTTGTACCTGTATCATGTTATTTTACACCGTGCCGCGGTACACATACGGTGACATGGTGTCTTCACACGTTTTCTCCGCGCTTAATAAATCTGGATGTTTTTTAGGCAAAACTGTACACCGTGTGTAGGGAATATTTCAAGCGTTAACCCCCTAGTTTGAACCCCACTGTGATCATACACTAAAGTACGGTGGCGTCCAAAGGGAAAGAAGATAGAGCAAAAGAGTCGCCAACAAGTTTTAGGAACTTGTAAACTGTTCATGAGGTGAAGGTTACACCCCTTAACGATCCAAGAGATGATCAACTCCATAAGGTCTTGAACCAAATAGGGTTCGGGGATGAAGGTACAAATCCAACCTAAAAGAGATTGAACCTGCCCTAATAATAGGCCTCTACTTTATTCTGATCGTATTCATGTGCGTTTTCTGACTAACATACAATCAATAGGATTACCCTAAACCTGTTTATCTATGTTGGTTGAATATTAATGCACAAATAAATCTATTATTGGTGATCACTTGAATTATAATCATATTAACCCCAAACAAGATTATTAATTATCTTATTAAGCGTGATTACAAGTATAGATTCCCTTTAAACATGCATAAAAGGCGTGATCAAGCAATAACAATAAATATCAAGCAACATAATATATAATCATAATAATAATCATGAAATTATAATAATAATAATCATCATCATAAAATTATAATCATAAATCATGTTAAAGCATAATAATAGCAAGATCCTAGGCATGATACTAACAAGATTAATAACAAACCCTAGCATGTCACTAAATAATAAAAATCAAAGTTTTAACCCTAACATGATACTAACAATCATAAATATTAGGAAGAACATAAAAGACATCATACTTTTAATCATACTTGATATTAAAGTTACCCTAGACATGATACTAGGAATCATAATAACAACCTAAGCATGAACTCTATATCATAACATCAATAAAAACCATTAAAGTACTTACTTTGATGCCTTGTATCTCTTTCTAATAACAAAATACACACGTTAGTAACTTCAAGGAAAATAATAATTAAAACAATTAAATTACATAATGGAAAGAGAGATTTGGGACCAAACCCTCAAAAATTAAACCTTTCACGTCTAGGGCGAAGGCAACTTCAAATATGGCTAGGTGTTTCTAGATCTAATGAATGCGGATTTTTCTATTTGTGAGAAAGCTAGTTTAGAAAAGAGAGAGAGAGAGAGAGAGAGAGAGAGAGAAAGAATTGATAGATTGTAGATGAAAAGTGGTGATGAAAACGGAGTTTTTACGACGTTATTTATAAAGAAAATCAGCCAAAAAGATAAAATATCAAAACAGAGTTCTGGCGCAGATAAAATTGAATTAGCACCAATGTTCGCTATTGGCGCCAGACGCCAACATTAGCGCCAGGCGCCAATGCTAGCGCCAGGCGCTAAAGCTGGCGTTTGGCGCTGATTCAGAAATTCACGCGTTTTCTTAAAATCAGATAAAAATTGCCGTACAGGAGTATAAAATCGTACTTTCCTCAAAAAATATTCTTTGATTTTAATTAAAACTCTAAAAAGTCAACAAAAGTCAATTTATCAATGTTAATTGAATTAGGAATGAAAAGAACCTTCTAGAAGAATCTAGAAGACTAAAACAATTCCTAATTGCATTAGGAATGATAAATCTATTAGGCCCTCCTCTAGATCATTGGGCCGCATATAAGGCTCAAACTGGGCCCAGTTCAGTAAATTGGCTATAACTTCCTCAATATTCATCGGAATTGGGCTTATAATATATCGTTGGAAAGCTCTTGTCAAGCCCCATCCAACTAAACTACTATTGGACCCATATCATGGACCAACCAAACTGGATTGGCTGTTTTCTTAAAATAAGTTTTCAAAAACAGAGAGAAAAGAAAAGAAATTAAAATTATCCGCAACACTAGACTTTCCACACTTTCACTTCATTCGATTATGATTCGACGCGAAAAGGTACTCATCACCGGGTTTGGTTTTGGGGAGACACAAATGGGTGTCTACACCGTGTCACAGTGCCTCACGTGACCGTGCTTAGTACCGTGTCACGGTACACACACCCGTGACGCGGTGCTCAATTAGGGTTTTTTCTGCGACGCTTATCACTTCAGTTCATTTTCTCTATACATGCGCTGCTTATTTCTTCAGTTCGGTGCACCAAAAACCATTCTCTTTCTCCTTACACCAGCAATCATTCTCTTTTCTTTCTTTTGCCTAAATACAAGCCTGCTTATTCTTCCATAATACTTCCCCTAAGCACTCCAAGGAGTTCATACTTGACCCCAGGTTCCATCCTTAAACCAAGGCGTGAAAGGTACAATTAACTGAGGGTTTGGACCAAATCAACTCTTTTTTTTATTTAGTTTAATTGTTTAATTTCATTGATTTATATATTTTGAAGTTACTAACAACTTGTTCATGATGTAGCAATTCAAGGAAACGCGGAAAGTGAGTAATTAATCACTTAATTACTCTTATTTTTATTCTTGTTGCTAGTATCATGATTAGGGTTATTATTATGATTTGATTTGACTATGTTAAATTGCTTCCAATATTAATGTTGATTTTATTATATTTTTGTGATCACCATATTATTGCATGTTTGAAGGGAATATGTAATTGAAAAATAATGCCTAATAAGCTAATTTGGACGACCACTTTAAGTTCCTTTTTAATCTTGTTGTTTAATTAAAGTGACCGCAATATTTTAGAATTATATATTGCATTAATATTCAACTAATTTAGCTTAATAATAGTTTGGAGCAAATTGAATCTTTTTTTTGCATACCTTTGAGATCGCAAGAATCACTTTTCACAATAAGAATCGAGTAGAGGCTAATACGGGCGAAAGTGACTCCATGACTCACGCTGTACCATCATCCCCGATCCTCCTTTCGTGGTTCCGAACCATATGGAGTTATTAATCTCATGGATTAGGAATGGGGTGTAATTAACCTTCACGGGTCAATCGTTGTTGCCTTTAGTTGTCCCTTAATCGTGGTTGTCTTTTATGATCCGTGAACGGTTTACGAGTTCCTTAAAAACTTGTTGGCATCTCCTTACTTTTCTTGTCCCTAATCGTATATGTCAATTCCCACGAGTGCCAAGCACATTCACAACATGCTTAACATAGGCGCACTTTGAATGACTCCTACAGATAGTAAGACTCAATTATGATGCCTCGCTCATTAGGGAAGATGGACGGGTGGGTCTTGGTGTTATGGCTCGTGACTGCCATGGAGATGTAGTGTTTGCAGCCACTAGGAGAGTTTGAGCATACTAGTTGCCGGTTATTACAGAAGGAAAGGTCGTTGTTATGATTACTGGTTAGGCTTTTATCAAAAAAACGCAACGGAAAACTTAAAACCCTTTCAAACCAAAATAAACTTTAACTAAAATAAACTTCAAACTACAATAAATCAAGCCAACTTAAATCAAAACCAACTCAAATACAAAAAGGAACCATATCGGCCCAAAACAAAACCAAATAAACAAATAAGTAAGTTACTAGCATCAAACCAGTAAGAAAATGAACATAACACTTATAAGGAACATAAATTTAAGTAGCTCTCCACTACACAAAACCCCTGGACATGTTTCATGCATCTCTACCTAAAAAAGGCCTTAAGTAAAATGTCTCAACTACTCACCATAAATGAATCATCATAAGGCCAAGTCAAAGTAAGGCCAACAAACACAATCAAAGCATGCATCAGTAAAGTTGACTACATAAACGAATAGAATCACACTAGCATGCTCCACTGCACCCTATAAATTCAACATTTCTTACTTGTCATCAAACAAGTCAACAAACCAAACAAAACTCATTGACTTATAATCTAATTTATTTATTCATTTGAAAATGCATCGAACGAGTTTCGCTTCCAAGTCTCCGCCCCAAAATCGAGTAGGCACCTATGTCACATGAGAATGACGGATGTCCCTGCGCATAATAG